TCTGCCTTGCAGCCCGAACCTGGTTCTGCAAAGACCAGAGTTGGAAGTTGAATTTTTCCTTAACTTTGTGTGATCAGTTGTCATAGCACAGTGTTGTTTCCAGCCCCAAGTCAACATCGTAAGTGAACAGAACAGGCACGCCAAAAGCAGCCTCAAAATAACAAAGCACACGGTGATAACGGTGAACAAAAACAAGGGGTCCGCTGCCCGGCGATGAGTTAAGCACTGTAATTACGAAGTGAGGAGGTCCGGTTGTTAACAAGGTGAAGAGGTTTTCCGCTGAATCTGATGAAGGCAGAATAAGAAAAAAATAGAGCCCCACTCTACATATAATTGCTGTGCTTTAAGGCCTAGACCTCGTACGAAAGGATGAACGAAAAGAATATTCCTACGCGCAGCACGAGATGCAAGCGTTCTAATGTAGAACATCCAGATAGAAGAAGGATCAGTTTATTACCTTTCTCGAGGATGGGCAGAAGAACAAACGCACCACAACCAGTTGCCAATGTTTGATCCCGCCATATGGGCCCGAACAGGATGCGTACTCTGTCAATTAGTGACAATAGAATTCAGGAGGGATGCTGTCTACCCAAACTGGTTGATTAAGGTAATGGTTTCACTTATACCTGACTAAGCTCAGTCGACTTTCTACAAGGTATGGCCGTCAAGTAGTCACCTCATCCGAATCACCATGTCGGCGGGTGGAACGCTACAGGAAACTTGTCCTTACTTAGTGGCACGGCGGTAGTCAAGACAATTGGAGTGTATTTAGTACAATGGTGATGTTAAATTAACGATTTTCCACATTTTTCTAGCTGATTGAATTGGTCGAACAGTCAGCAAGCTCTAATTTCTCATCTTTTTTTTCAGGACCCAAACTGGAGTGTTGTGGATATTCAGATGGCCACTCAAGCTGTCGGTGAAATAGGTCGGGATTATGCTCAGATTGCCGCGCGACTGGTCAACAAAACCCCAAGCATGGTGGCCACTCTTTTCGAACTATACGGGCAACATTTGAACTTCAGTGAACTAGCTGCAATGGCCCCGCTAACTGGTCGCTGAAACCCTATCCGACAATCCTCCTTTATCTCTCTCTCTCTGTGCCTGTTTCTAACGGCCACTAAAGATGATCTTCTGACCGGCAAACACAACAGATTGATATGCCCATGTGTACACATTTTCAAGAGCTGTATTCTGTCCCTCCCTCCCACACCGCTTTTCCTATATCGAACTTGTACAAATGTCGCCCTCACTCCATCCAATCAGCTGTGTACAACGTTTTTGACTAGCTTTTGATTGTTCACTATTTTGTGATGTCTGATCCCGCCGGTGAGTGGCTAGTGGATTGACTGATTCGTGAATAATGCTAGTCGTCTCGGTTGAGTCCTGTCTAGAGATTTTAAAAAGCCCCTGATGTTACAGTTTTTTCCCTTTTTATGTGATTGGTTATTTGATGGGTTGCTACGTGATTCCCAAGTGATCATATGTGAAGGAACGGGCAGATTGGAATAGATTCGTCATGCTCAGTGAAATTGCACATGACAGCTGTCTTACCCGCACCTGGAGTAATCGAAATCTTGTTATTTTCTCTATTCCAATGCATATTGATTGATGCGTTTGATTGTCTGTCTTCGAAAGCTTGGAATTTCAACAAACAGCTTGTATACAGTGTTCGCGCTACTGAGTTCTATTGTAAGTCATATCTTTGAACAATAATCTTCCTCCATTGGGCCCCAACCAGGAACACGGGCAACACCAACCTGAGGTTGACCTCCAACACTAGCTCATGGTCTGACCGCCACGCCACTTCTTCCAACATTTGGAAAGAGAGCAATGTTTTAAACATGACAGAGCCATGGGTAATAATGTGGAACGAGTTCCTCTTTCCGAGAATTATTGTCAACACTCAACTCACGACGGCGGACCTCGTCGTTTCTCATCCACTACCCCCATCAGACTCAAGCCAGCGCCAAAGCAATCAGTAAATTTTCTTTCAAATGCTTGCGGTCTTTTATGCATGTCTTTTTCAGGCAGCAAGAGAATCCAAACCTGTATTCATACTGTTTGAACTAAACCTACCAGACGAAATTCAAGTAGAACATGAGACCGTAATACCGCGAGAGTGAAACCACAACCACATTTGAGGTCACGTGACCCGATCGATGGACTGTATGATAAAGTGATTAACCCGTCAACCGGCACTTATGAATCCCACGTATGTGGAGAAATGCAGAACGGCCGCACGCAATATGCATTCACCGCTTAGCGTAACATTCCTTCCACTGTAGACCCTCCTGCTTACGCCAGATAAACTGCATTTCAGTTAAAGATGTCACACCGAATAAAACATGTCACGCTAAAGTTTTGTTTATGCACACAAAATCCAACGTAATTCAATAACAAACTGTTCTTTGTTGTTGCGGAATCAAGCCTGATAGGATGCAGGGGAATTCTTATAAATGTTAATCCGAGAGTCTAGATACCGAAAGGAGGAGCTTGTAAACCAGTGGAAACGACAAAAGGATTAATCAAGTTGCGGTGGATGTAATATCTAATAAGTCTGGTGGCCAATAAATTAACCAAATTCAATGATACACGACTGGGTGTCACCGAACTGTCATGAGTCGTTTTTAAGTCTTGTTTTAGGAGGCCGGGAAACACTACAGGGGAGCATTGAAGTAGAAAAGGGAAAGCATTGAATGAAATAGGAATAGCCTATGTTTCCGTTGCTGAAAGCATAGGCCATAGGTGTCGATGGTGACACAGGTAACTGACAGGGTATCGGATTCCGTTTAAATGAAGAGCGGAAAAAACTGACGATGTGTTCTAGGCACTTTGAAGTGTTAAGACTAAGATCAGATTGGTTGGAAAACTGTCGGGTTCGAGACTGGTTTTCTGTGTAGTCATCGAATTCTAATGAAAAAATTGTCTGATGCAAAACGACGTCAGTATACTGTGGAAGTGTGTGCATTAGATTTATGACAGGATTAAACATAAACAGTGGTGAGCTCGTACGGAAAAGTACCTTTAGCTCGGCTTCGGATATTATTATCAAGGAGAGAGGCAGCGCCAGAGTTGAGAGCGGTCGATTGAGTATAGAGCCGCTTTCAGATCGAGGACGATAGAAACAGTGGGTCTACGAAAGGAGTGTCTGTGTTCTAAAATTTGTCGAAGGGTGAAGATGTAGTCTATGCAACCTCGACTAGGTCTAAGACCAGCCTGGTTCTCAAGCGTGCAACGTTCGCGTGCGGCAGACATTCGACGGAGTATGACACCAGCGAGAAGCTTAGGAAAGCTGATTAAACTAATTCCTCTGTGGTTTTCACGGGAGAATCTGTCACCTTTGTTGTAAATCGGTGTGATCACCGATTCGCACCACTCAGTTGGGACCTGTTCTCAGGCGTTCCGTTAACTTCTTGACCAACGCTGAAATTCCATCCTTAACTATTAACTATTACCGATATCCACAACTTTCTCCGTCTCTCTACACTGCTTCTCACGGCAATTCCTCGGGCTCTTGATGAGGTGGCGTTTAAGGAATCTGCGCACTGTTTCCAGTTTGGCATCAGGAGGAAGGGTTCTGCGGGTATCCAGCCGGGCAACCAAGGTCGAGGAGCTCCATCGTTTTTGCTTTGATCCTGCCCCAGACTCTGCCATTGTTTGGGTTGACATTTAGATCACTTCCTTGATTAAGGTCCAGCGTTCACTGAGTCCTTGGGCTGATGGTCGAGTTGAAAGACAATCAGAGGGTTCCGTTTTGAAGGCCAGTTTACAATTATCGTTGATATAGTATTGTGGGCATCCGTTACCGTTGGATTTTCTTTGGTTGTTTACCAGACGTAAGGAGATTGTGGTTCGAGTGATTTGAGTCCCCAACAAGTGCAGGTTTTCATCGAATAACGCTCGGTGGTGGTCTAGGTCAAGGTCACCGGGGGATGTGTGTTCGTATCCCACCACTGCCACCTGACTTGCCCAATCTATGATTTATGACAGCCCTTTGATTGGCCGCTTTCTGATAATTGTGTCATATATTCTGCAAAATGAACAAGGAAGAAAAACCGCATGTATAAATCGAAGGGAGCAGAGATATCCATCTGGGAACACGGAGATGATAGTACTTGTGACGGGAAGACGAAGAACAGATAAACAGTCACTGCATTTTTTGGGAATAGTTGAATAGCGCTTCCGATTTACCACACCGGGAAACATTGGTAAAGGTTACCACCCCGCTTTCTGCTATTTCGCTTTCTATCCTGTCGGTAGCAATGGAAGCTAGCCATTTGTACCAGAGCGTCCGTAACAATTTGATTCAACCAGGTTTCTTGCACACATGCAACACCTGTTGTACTTGATGCGTGAGTTCAGAACCGAAGTCAACTCCGAAATCTTCGCGAAGGCTGAGGGAAGGATAATGCTGACCAATGATAGAACAAGCATCTGGGCAGGACGGGTACAAATATGTGCAGTCTGACGTCCGGCCCACCTGCTTATTTTATCCAAGTATATTTATGAGCCTCACCAAGTGTTATGTGGTCGAACGTATTTGTTGGATAACTCTTGTTTAAATCGTTCGCATTAAATGCCTAATATCAATGCTCAAACGTGTGCACATAAAAACATACACGTAACTCACATGAGACCTTGATTACAATGACCAATCAGATTGGGTCACGCGTCTGCTTGTTATTGATTATCTGCCTGCTGATGGCTCGTACGTTCATTATCGGTTGATGATATGCTTTTGTTATTGTATATGAATTACAGTTGTTCCAATTTCTGCCTAATTAAAGGATTTACTTCCGTCCATACTACTACTAGTTGAATATTGAGTACAACACCAAGCACATGATTTGTGAGAAGCAGAGACTTCACAGTTTTCAATCAGGACATGTCTTGACGAGGATACGTATGGTTTCTGGTCATATTTTGCATCGACAAATAAACACACGTCCCAGACCAACAGTTATTGCAAAAGTAGTCCCAGCCAAAATCTGGGATCCAAGGCTACACAAATAAAATAACTGGTTTCTTCAATTCATTTGTCCTGCCCAGCCTACATGACAAACCGGATCACTGCCTTATTCACGTGGCGATGACGCAACACGTGATGCGTGCGGAAAGGTCATCTGAAATTTCCACGAGTGACCTTGAGTCTCTCACTCTGTTCTTCCTCAGAACTTGACAGATAATGTTGTTTCTGCCTATCTAGCCTGATGATCTGATCGTTTTGGCTTTTATCTCATCTATGTATATAGATAACTATGTGAATACCGAAATGGTAAGTTACGAAAACAATCCTTCTCGCTTAAGATGACATTGTAAATCTTACACAAATTATTTCCATAAAAAATGAATAAGTCTATCAACGTTGGTGAGCACCCTGAATGTTGATATAGTGGAGGTGGTTGTTATTGTACAATAGAAACAAAAGCGGTTATAATGAATCAGAGAGATACGCATTTTACTCACAGCTACTTGTAAGCAGTGTTATGGGATTTGTGTGCGTCTGTAGCCAGTTAGCCCGTAACCTGCATGGAAGACAATCTGGTGGGACGTTTTCAATTGGAATTAACAGATAGTTGTTGTGCCGAGATGAACTGACTGATTATCTCTGAAGATGACCCCTGAACAAACAAGGATTGGTAATTCAGTTCAACCTTAGTATGAGCTGGTTAGCGCAGTTTTAACACACACGCCTTCCATGCCATGGGTCCGGAGTTCAAAGCTCGGACGGAACGATGGATATGCACTATTGCTAAGCTCTAATAAAAGCGAAACTCTAGTCTGGTGCATCCGAATGTATGGTTGATTGGAAGAACGGAGGAATATGCGTGAAAGAGAAGTCCAAAGGATGGCCAGTTCTAATCCATCAATTAAGGAGATATTCGCCTCCTGAACAATAGGAAGATGAACCACCTCCGTGTGTTTTGACTTCACTACCTGAAAACTTTATGAAAAATATTTCCGAAACTCTTATATCTCATCGTAGAGAGTCAATACCAGTGTGAAGCAGGAAAGTTGTGGCAACTGGATTCGGGGAGGTCAAAATTTCAATTAAGCAC